AAAAAGTGCATTTTTATAGTGCCTGACTCTTGAGATATTGGTTTTTGGAAGAATACCATTTATTGTTGTATTATGGATAAAATCTGTCTTGATTGCTTTTAACCAGATTAGAAATTTATTCTTCTTATTACGATGCTGCTTCTACCAAATTCTTACTATACTAATATGTATAGTATATGGAGATGAAGAAAAACAAATAGATACTTATTTATAACTTTTATTTTCAACTAATTTCAAGTAATTATGACATATATTCCTCCTTCCCTATTGCAGCTGTTCCATTTCATCTGCAACCCAACCAGAAGAAATACTGTGTGGGTTGGTATTTGCCCTGCTCTTTGAAGCATAAACATAAGAAATATTTTTCTTCTCAAAGTTTATACAATTTTCCCAAACTACAACAGACATTGAATGAATTAATTCTCAAAAATGTTAACATTTGTGATAGGAAGGGAGTGGAAAGGATTCTTGAGTTAAGACAATTAGTACTTGGCACTGATGATTTTCCTAAAGGAGATCAATCTTGACTGTTCTTTGGAAGGACAGATGCTAAAGCTGAAGCGCAAATACTTTGGCCAACAAATGAGAAGAGAGGACTCTGATGTTGGGAAAGATTGAAGGCCAAAGAAAAAGGAGACAGCAGAGGATGAGATGGTTATATTGTGTTATTGACACAATGAGCATGAATTTGGGCAAACTCTGGGAGACAGTTGAGGGTGGGGGCCCTTGCATGCTATGGTCCATGCGGTTGTGAAGAGTTGGAAACAACTTAGTTACTCAACAACAATAACAACAACTGATAATTTAAAAAAGAAAGACTCAAGCAGAGTTAGCTCAGTTGATACATCCATTCCCATGGACAAAAAATACGATGTTTGTCCTAGAATTAGAAAAAGTAGATTAGGCAATTGTGTTAGACTGTACTTTTAGATATCTATATAGTTTGGCTTTTTCTTAATAATCCTTTTCAGTGAGTTTCATTATTTTAATGTGAAATTAAATAATATTACTACCGTATACACAATCTGCTCTGCCCATTGATGCTTCTTTCTTTAAGCATGATGTATATCTTGAGCCTAACTGTGTCCTGTTCTACCCAAACACAAGGATAATTATGCCCAATTTAAAAGAGTAAAACCCCCAAGTAAAACAGATGTTGGAATTATTACATCAGGAGGATATCCATTGGAACTTTGGGGTGGGATCTGACCTTGGAAAAAGTCTAGGTTTACCAGAAATAATAAAAAAAAGAGATGGTGTGTGAGCCAGAGCTGCTGTTTTTGCCTTCTGCAACCCTAAAATAATAATATTTCCCCTTTGATTTAATATAAAGCCCTCCCTTGATTTTAAATACTGTTTTAAATGTTAAAGTTTGTTCCACTGAGAAATTCAGCCCATTTCTGAAAAGTATGTTTGAATTCAAGCACATTCTGTGTTTTTAACCTGCAATCTTTTTTCAGTTCTGAAATCTTCATATCCCTGATTAAATCACCTAATGAGACACCATTTATGCTTTCTAAGGAGGTTGGATGTACATGTTGTTAGAACAGGTCTATTTAATGATAATAAGTTCACATATCTAAAAATAGTATGGTAACTATAAAGATAATAGTGTATTCTAGGGAGTGGTAAAAATGAGAGTAATTTTAATATCCCCATTATCCAAAAAAGAGGCTTTACCCTTTTCTGACTCTTAATTATTATGTATATAAACTTGCTTGACTGAATTAACAAATAAATCTATCCATTGATGACTTCTTGACTCTGCCTTATCATCACACCCTATATCATCCACTCTTCAATTAAAGCTTTCTTGGAATCAAGCATGTCACTGTTGACAGTGGTGAACATAATGTCACTCCTTGACTGACACCCTATAGTTTCTTACAGATCAGAAGTAATCACTAAAAACATACTATTTGTGTTGATTCTGAAATTCAAGGTTTGGCACCAATTAACAGGCTAAATTTGTTAAAATGGGAAGTAGTTATAATTTTCAGTTGTCTGCTAGAGATAGCATGCTATCTACTTTACCACATGATTTTTTTAAAACCACGTTTCCCCTAGTAGTAGTACATTTTTTTCTAAAGCAATATAGTTCATAACTAAACAACTTTTTTCTGCAGTTCTTGTTAATATTCACATGACATGATTAATATTGACAGTATTGAAAGGCTAGAAATGAGATGCATAAGCATGCTTAAACAAAAATATATGTCCTGTTTTAAAAAAGAGTATGTAGAGTGGCATGGAAGTCAGCAGAAAGGTAGAAAAAATAGTTGAAAAAGCTTCTATTAGAACAAAGGCTGTTCCTTAAATAGAAGGAATGCTTGCCATCATGCCTTGTCATATCATGTTACATGCCAGTCATTAAAACTGAATGTCTTAACATTTCAATCATTTGCAAATCCTTTCAATAAAATATTAGTACTATCTTACATTCCTTAGAGGATTACAATATAACTGCAGTGAACAAAGTAAAACTGTTCTATTTCCTTCTGTATAGATTGTCAATTAAACTGAAAAAAGATGAAAGTTTTAAAGTAAGCAAAAAAGAGGTTTGAGCAATAAAGGTTAAAGTATTTTTTTTAAAAAAACAAATGTATTAACTGTAAATTGCTAATTTAATAAAATAGCTATATATGTTGATCTAGAGCAGTGGTGGCGAACCAATGGCACGCGTGCCAGAAGCGGCACTCGGAGCCCTCTCTGTAGGCACACGTGCCATTGCCCCAGCTTTGCCTCCCCCAGTGACCCCCTCCTTACCAGCAGCCCCCCAGAGGAGAGTCGCCCGCAAGTGTGGCCCACCCAGAGCAGCACAGCCAAGGACATGGCAGCCAGGCAGCATAGACAAGACTCTGCCCTCATGCCCCATCGCGCACAGTTGATGCTGCGGGGCGCGGGCAGAGGGCGTGGCCGCCATGGTGCTGCTGGGCTGCCTGGGCGATCTGCGGCGGGCCCTGGAGGTGGTGAGTGGCCCTGCAAGCAGGCGGGGTGAGGGCAGGGCAGGGGGTGGAGCAAGGGCGGGTCTCTAAAAGGTTCGCCATCACTGATCTAGAGTCATGGTTTTCATTATTTTATTTTATTAGTAAATGTGAAAATTTACTATTTAATATTACTAGTAATTAGTAAGGAATTACTAAATGTGATTCCTAGTATTACTTGAATAAACTAGAAATACTAGGATTCTACATCTGATGGTTAGTACTCATGCTGGTTAATATAAGGGACAGTGTGCCTTTCAGCGTTAATATTGGGAGAGTAGAAGGTATGATCACATTTCCTACTATTTTTGTAGACTTATTGTAACAACTAGAGTACCAAAATAGTATTAGTGGCTAGGTTTTGGTCTGGTATAGCATGTTGGCTCTTATATTCTTTATCAGGGACACTCTAGTAACAGAAGCAAGAAAAATAATTGCCCTGACTAGGTGATTTTACATTCAAAATTGAAATAGACATCATCAATATTGCTTATCATATAGTAGCAATGTGCAAAATGTTTTGAATGTGGTCTGTATTACATTCAAAATATCCCTCTTTGTGGGCAAATAAATTTTAAAATATGAAATAGTAAGAAACACTTCTTTGATCATTTGGGGAGAGTTTATCATTTGAAATCACTTAAATTTAAGTTTAAAACATTCTTGAGCTCCAGGCATTTATTTAATTATTGAAACAGTCCATTTTAGCCTCCAGCCATTTCAAATTTGAAATGATTCAAGTTAAAATTATATTGCGCATCCTTGTGTACTTAGTAAAATCTTGATTCTCCAAACATTTATTCAGCAAATGAAAAGACAGAATTTGAATGCAACAGGCAGAATTTTAGTTTTACATTTCAAATCAGGACAAGTTGTGTTATGTGCATCAATTTATATAATTAAAATTATGCAATAGAAATATTTTTATATATTTATATCAGCATTCATTATATGCATAATTATGTAATTAGCATTTGGGTATTGTTGATGTTGGTTCGTGTCATTTGTATAATTTTATTTAATGGAAATTCAGAGGGGAGATTTTCCTTTTTATTGAAATGTGATTCACATTCATACTTTCTAACATGGCAAATGAACATGCCTTGTTAAGCCACCTTTCAATTGTTAAATATCTACAATGTTAAGCAATTATTTTTTAAACTGCTACGATTAAATAAATAAGTTCCTTGATTTTAAGCTTGAGGTTTGATCCCATGAATAAGTACAGTAATCACATCTCTGGGAAGCATTTAATTCTTTGTTTAGTAATGATGCTTATCTCCCCAATTTCATGCCCAAAGAGTATCACTTTGTCACATGACCACCACAAATGAAATAAAGATATGAAAAGCTGTTTCATTTCTGGAAATTCGGGGTTAAAGGACAATAGCCAAATAGGTTGTTAAATTGTGATTTTATTTTAGTCTGTGTTATCAATAGTATGTCAAGTTGCATATTATTCTGCGGCATTCTAAAAAGCAAAAATAGTATCTCTACAATCATCTTTATTTACAAGAATGCTTCTGGGTTCCATGTAAGGATTCATTATTTGGAAGTATGCTTACATGGAAAGGGGGGAAAAATAGGGCATGCTGGATTGGTAGAAAGAAAACAATCCGGGTGGGATTAATTTTATATTCCTGTGTGCTGATAAGTGAGTGTTTTGTGACTAGTCATACCCATTATGGCAACTATCTGGGGAGAACCCCAGGATCAACTTTCAAAATTTCCCTACTTGCCCAAAAGAATTCTGTGGTATATTAGGATAGTACATATGTTCAGAAATGTACAGACTATTAGAGATCTTTGCTTTTTAGTGTAACCCTTTGAGAATGCTAGCACTTGATTCTATATTCCAAAGATGACCGTAATTCCACAATCTTTTTATATATATTTGGATTATGCAGTATATCTTAAATATAAAGTAGGTCAAATGGATTTATTATAACTTACAACACAAATAATATTTTCATCATGAAACTTATAGTTTGCATTTATTCAATGTTTGTACTGCAGGTACACTGACCCAGAATGAGATGATATTTAAGCGCCTCCACCTAGGTACTGTTTCATATGGAACAGACACAATGGATGAAATTCAAAATCATATTATCAGTTCATATTCCCAGGTATTTAGTTTTCATTCTTACTTTCCTTACTTACTATAAGTTCTGTTTTTTAAAAAAGCCCAATACAAGAAAAGCTAGAGTACAGGTAGACCCCGACTTACAAATTTGTTTAGCAACCATTTGAAGTTACAGTGGCATTGAAAAAAGTGACTTACCACCAGTCCTTGCACTTGCAACTGGCATAGCACAAAATTCAGGTGCTTGGCAACGGGCATGCATTTATGACAACTGCAGCATTCTGTACATGGGCACATGTGACCTTCCCAGATGGTTTCTGACAAGCAGAGTTAATCAGGGAAGCCAGATTCGCTTAAGGACCATGTGATTCCCTTAACAAATGCAACAAAATTTGACACAACTCACTTAAGAACCGCCTTTCCTAGCAATGTAAATTCTGGTTCCAACTGTGGTTGTAAGACGAGGACTACCTTATACTGTAAAATAATCTCAGTGCAATTGATATTTATTTATTTTTTAAATTATACTTTTGATTACACGATGAAAAATATTTCAAATCCATGTGAAATTACCTACATGGAAGACTTAACTTGTATTAGTTCTCAGAGATAAAATTTCAGGTTCAGTTTTGAATAGTTAAAGGATACAAGAATAACAAAGTTGCCTCAGACAGAATAGGGCTGCATAAGAATTACAAAATCATTTTGTCTGTTTTCACTGTAAAGATCTGCAAAGAGGCTGTGCCTCTTGGAAAACAACCAATGGCGACAGCTCGTATATTTGTGCCTTATCACATTTTTTTGTCAATCTGAATTGATATGCTATTAATCAGAGGTCATCAAATGGAGCTTATATAGTCAACTTTGCCTCAAATGGAGTTTATATAGTCAACTTTGCCTCAAATGGAGTTTATATAGTCAACTTTGCCTCAGTATGGTCTTGCATCTGAGTGACATGAAATGTTCAATAAGCCCTACACTTGTGTAATTTAAATGTCTACTATTTGCCTGGACAAGATAGAAACCAAGCAATAAAGCGAAGCAGGGCAAAGGAGATCTCTCCAAAAGAATGTATTATATCATATGGCAACATGGATGGAGCTGTTCATTGTAAGACCTGCTTCATCTTCATAGTCTATGTGTCCATCATGTACTACCATTTATCAAAGTATAGTAAACAACATTGTTTCAAGATATCTTTTTCTTGAAATAAGTTATATGTAAATTTAAAACTCTTTTGTAGAAATATTAATATATTTTAGCGTGAATCTGATACCAAATACATATATACCCACTTAACAATAAATGCAGTATGGGATATAAAGTATAATTTCTTGTGTTTTTCCCTTCTTACTGAAATCCGCTACATAGATTATTGCCATGAATCCTTACAGCAACTGTGTTAAATATACTAGTGTAACTTCCATGATAAGAGTGGTATATTTGGAAATATATATATATATATACATACACACACACACAAAACACTTGTTTCTTACCTTTTACTCATAATAATACTGGTAAGTGTGGAGAAAAGCTAAGATACTATGTTTTATGCAGAATACTGAATTAACTTTCAAAATATTTAAACGAAAGACCTCTCAGCTTATAGCCCATGATTTTCATCACAATTGTAATACATCAACTACATGATAAGTTTTAATAGTTTTAATGATGTCTACCACACATTGCTTCTTGCTCTGTTTATTTTACTGAACTACAGTTTCCAGAATTAAAACAAAAAACAAATGTTGCCCAATGCAGAAGCTTATACAGTATATGTAAGGATATTAACAAGCCAAAATTATTAAAAAAATTAATTATGAATGGGTTAGCATTTGCATTCTGTTCAACACATCTACATATGAAAGACCAGTTGCTTATGTTGAGCTGTAATGTGATTAGTAATATGATTCAACACTTAAAATATTTTTAACATTTTTATATAATAATTTCCCCCAGCTTTTTTAGATCACAATGTATCAGTTACAAAACTATGCAAGTATAAGTGACAAAGAGAAGCCACATTAATGGAGGATGAAGTACAAAATCTATTTAATTTATACAATACACTCCCATTATAAACCTAGCACTTTCAAGTGAGAATACCACAACAGAGTGATACTAAATAGTAAAGCATTTTAAAAGAAGAGATAATTTTCTTCATTTAAGTAAATTATTTTATTAAATATCCCAATAATAAATTCATTTTTACCACTTGTTATAAATTAGGGGAAAATAATCTTCCATAAAATAAATAGCTGCTTAATAGTTGCTTCAAAAGTAACTGTTGTGCATTTATTTACTTAAGCAATAACTATTAATGCAGCCAGTTATACAGTGGTTCTTGTATGGTATTGATTTTTCTCCCTTGTATGTGTTCAGTTTTATTAAGATGGCAATAGTCAAGTAGGTCCCCTCTACTAAAGCACACAAATCTATTATAACCTGATTATATTTCCCCACTGGAAGCATTTTGTGATAGAGGGCATAATCTTTAATGGAATTTGTGTGAAATTAAATTACACAAGCATCAATAAACATAACATAATTCAGAAGGAGTAAATCTGCTTAATTTATTAGTAGTTGCAATGGCATCAGTGTTAGTAGATTGCAAAGGCAAAGTTTTAAAGCAATAGCTGAACAAAAATGCCAGATGATCAGAAACTTAAATCTTTTATTAGACTGCACTGTAATTTGAGGGCTAAAATATTCTCAGTACCATGTTCAGTACATGAAATTTTTAAAAAATGCTTGCTTGCCAAACAGGATTTCAGTGTTATTACCCTACAGAAAATCTAAAGTTAGTTTTGATAATACTGGTGAGAGGACAGAGATTGTTTTGCAGTGTTAACCCAATATAATTCTTTTCCTAATATATAAGGCACATATATTAAGGCACAAGTTTTTGTAGATTTTCAACATAACTCCTAAAGGCACCTATGCCTGACTCATCTTTTGCTTCTTGGCTTCCTATTGTTCTTGAGCTGTGGTGACATATATTAGGAAAAGTAGCATGAAAAGTTTCCCTTAAGAAAAACTCCAGATTATTCCAAGATTGTCTTTACATTAAAACAATTCACTTACCTATTTTATTTATTCACATTAGTTTAAACATGGTAAAAGTATTGTGTTCTTTCCCAAACCATATATGAAAGGAAGCATATGGTTTTATCATGTTTCTTATTTGTACAATCCTTCTTTATATGTGAAACGCATAATTAAAGAAGGGAACATTTGTCACAAAATTTAAAATTAACAAAATATAGAACTTTATAATCTAGTTATTCCAGGACGAAGGGAAAGAAATTGGTAGTTTTGTTTTATCTGAATATTCTATTTATATTTCAAAGATGCATACACAGTCTAGTGGAAACAGTACCAGCTCAACACCCTCCAGAAAGATGCAGCCCTCTGCACCTAAAGTTCGAAAAACGGTCAGCAGTCGAATACATGAAGCAGTAAAAGCTATTGCATTGTGTCACAATGTTACACCTGTGTATGAATCCCGAATAGGAGTGACTGGAGAAACAGAATATGCAGAGGTAGATCAGGATTTCAGTGATGAAAATAGAACTTACCAAGCTTCAAGCCCTGATGAGGTAAGGCTGCCATAATTTAATTGTCAAATGAATACAGCAACTGTTCCTAGAGTTTACAAGAAAACAAGGTTTTCTGATATGGCAGAATTAACAAATCATTTGAAGATGTGTTTTGATTTTGGAAGTACTGTTCAAAGCAATGACATATTTCTGAAGGTTCATTGCAGCCACGTAAAGTTATTTAAAATTATTGTGCATGATCATGCTTTCACATAAGTTCCTTCTACTGGAGCCGATTGTTTAATTCACAGGGAATTATGCCAGTTATATACATTACATTTACTTGTATCTATTCCATGTATTTGATGTATAATCATTTTGCGCTTTTGTGGGATAAGCCCATATCAGGCATATTTCAGACATCTTTTCAAATATACCTTTATACCAAATATAGCCATTAACTTTAGCAAAGTGAAAATGTTCTGATCTGAAGATAGTCATTTCAGTGTCCCAAGCTTGAAACAAAACATGTGTTCTGAAAGTTTTCTTCAAACCATGAAACAGTATCAAGGCACATAAGTAGCAAAACTGTGGACTGTTGCTTTGCTACTTGTATTTAGAACATTTTTTTTTGCCAAAGTTTTCCTGTCTTGCTAGCTTAATGGCAGAGAGAGGTCATGTCTGATTGATCTTGATTAGACTAGATGGGCTGTTGTGGGAATACAGTTTAAGAGGAAAGAAGCTATTTAACATAAGGTCTGATAGAAGAAGAATATTTACAGCAGCATGGCCGAGTTATTTAGTGACTATGTGTATGCTCTATATCTTGTTGTAATATTAATATTATTCATATAATTAAAAGTACTAGAGACCTTGGGGATTTGTTAAAAAAATTTGTAAGTCAGCCACACTCTGTGTGCAAAGAAAAACATCAGGAGAGAACAATGTTTTTGCTATGTATTTCTTTCTAGATTGCCAAGATAAAAAAAAAAAAGTCAGTCAAGCCAAGGAGGTTTTTTTTAATTGAAAATATTGAGAAAAACTTGTAGGGACATATATTAATAAAAATGAATTCTAAAAATTTGTTATATTTTTGGTTGGGTATTACAGAGGGATTAATTAATCAAATTACAGAAACCTCTGCTTTTTGTTTTCTGAGAGAACTTTTCTGATAATAGCTGTTATTCTAAATAGATTTTTAGTTTTTGAGGCCATAATTGCATTCTTGCATTCTTAATTGCATTTCTGGTGGACATTTATTTTAATGTTTTCATTAACTATATTTTACACAATTTGAAGGGTAGATAAGCATTCAATGACTACCAGCCAGCCACTGTTACGGACCTGGGTGGGGGAAAAAAGGAACCAGCAACTGATTCTTAGTTTCCATTGTTAAATATAGCCAGAATACTTAAAATGTCTCAAGAAACAGAACACTCAAAGCTTTGAGTGGCCTTGTCTGTTCTAGAGATGAACCAAAACATATTTTTCTGCTTTTTGCACAGCTCTAATTAATTCCTCTTAGCACCTGTGTTTTAATTTATTGCTTTTACCTGACTTTTATATTGTTTTTGGATGTATAAACAGTTTTCTAGTCTTTGTAATCTCCTATATTTTATTGGTCTTTGCAAGGCTTAATGTCTGAAAACTGATTTGAGGGAACTGGATCATAAAGTGGGCAAAAAGAAATAAAAGAGCAGATCAGTAGAGTGCGGTCTCCTGAATCTGGAAAGTGAAAGAATACAGGAAAACCTTGATTTGTGGACTTCTGGTTTAAGTCATGGCTGATTGAAAACATCTCACAAATGACCAGAGATGACAACCACTGTATAGAACAGTGGTTCTCAACTTGTGGGTCGGGACCCCATTTGGGGTCGATCGACCATTTCATGGGGGTCGCCAAGCAAGGCTGTCCGCCATTATTTTTGTCCGCCATTTTCCCCCCTTTTCCGGCGCGTGCCTTACCTCCCTTGGGCTGAGCCAGCTGGTGGTCGGCCTGCTCCGTCTCTGCCGCTTGCCAGATACGCCTCGGCCGGTGCAGGGGGCGGAACCACGCATGCGCGGTGCTCCCGGGCAGGGAAAGTCCTCGACTTACGACCGGTTGGGTAGTTGTCGACTTACGACCGGTTTAGTCCTCGACTTACGACCGGTTTAGTCCTCGACTTACGACCGGTTTAGTCCTCAACTTACGACCGGTTGGGGTCGCGGCATTAAAAGGGTTGAGAACCACTGGTATAGAATGAAAGATGAGTGATGAGTGATTAGACCGGTCCTTCCGAATTCTCTAGAAAAGGGGAGAATAGGAGTTGACAATGAGTGCTCCTCTTGAAGCGATCTCTCATGAGTTTGAGCACCGAGAGCCAAAGGAAATGACATCTTTGCTGTTAGCAGTGGCAAAGTCATTAAATCCAAAGAAGGTAAAATCAGGTGTCAAATTAAGCTTGCCATTTTGAAAGTATGCCCATAAAGTAGCTAAACTGAACATTTCCAAATCTGATTAGAAAATGAGTTCGGCTGCCACTCTGTTTAAAGTCTTTTAAACAGACACGTAAGCATTTAAAATAATATGCAATTGGCAAAAAGCAAAACAAAAAATTAATCTAAGAAAGTTTTATTGGGGAGACCCGAGACATTTGGAATCTTGGTTATCTTTGCTATAAGATTTAAAAACAAGTATATAATTAAATAATATACTTGAGGGAAATGACTGAAACAGAACTGAAGCCATGTTAGGAACTGGATGCTAGAGACAATTAAAGTACCAGGCAGAAAGGAGTTAAAATGGTCAAGCTGGTTATAATCATTTCTTATTTTAAAGAGTTTTTGTAGTAACTGAAATAATAGTAACTAAAATATCAGAAATGATACAGATTTCAATGGATAATTTTTTAGAAAATTGTGATTTAAAAAAAAAAACTTTTACCTGATAAATATATTACTGTGTTTGAAGAGATGGAAGGACAACAAAATTGGTATTACCAAATTGGGAATACAAAAGATGCATCAAGGAAAGGTTTTGGCATTGGAACAGTTGCAAAAAGACATTTTGGAGGATGCCTCTTTATGTAAAGAAGAAGATAGGACAAGAATCCTGGAGGATTTCCTGTAGGCTGGTGAAAGCTTTGAAGACTCCACTTAAATGCCAGAGATTGATAAGAGATCAAATCCTGTGATGCTATTAAAATGATTTAGAGGTTAAGGTTATGAAAAGCAAAAAGAAGAACTATAAAGTTGGACTATTTGATTAAGGATAAATTATTCATTTGTTATTTTTGGTAACTTTTTGCAGAACAAGGACAGAAAAAATTACAATTTCTGGTTTGCATACAGATAAAAATTAAGTTATGGGGAGAAGATTTTTTTTATTCGTAACTTTACAAGAGGGTGAAAGCATATTAGCTTATGCTCAGCATGATAAAGGTTGAAAGCCACTTAATTATTCTCTTTGTTAGCTTTTTCTTTTCTCTTATACTTTTCCTTTTGTTCTTTTTCTGCACCTTCTAATTTTTTTAATTTATATTTTTTCTAGCTTAGTTTGTATTAGTTTTACAAGCTTTATTCAAAACTTCAAGAAAATTATATTTAAAAAAGACAGGCCTTGATTTGTCCTTACTATGCTTTGAGATTTTTAGGCAAACAAATTTTGGATTGTATATCTAATAACAGCACTTTATTTTCTTTCTGCCAAAACTTGGACTATTTAAAATGCAGTCAACCCAGCTTTTTGTTCAATCCCTCCGCTTACCCCTGGTTTTCTACTATTTAGCAAAATAGCTTCATTCTATTCAGGCAGGCATTTGTAGCTAATCGTGGCTGAACAGTCAATCAGGATTTAGATTGCTTAGTTGTGGACTAATCAGCATCATTTTGTAATCCTTAAAATTAGTCTTCTAAATGTTTTTATAAATTTAACTTTTCTAATAATTTTTCAAATTTTGCTAAAAAAAGGACAAAGTTGCACAAATCTTTAAAAGAGCCTGCAAGTCATTGCAGGAGTTGTTGTTTTTTTTTTAAAAAAAACAACACTAAATTTAAAAGAACATGTCTTCTTCATACTTTTTTAAAAGAGCTATATTGATGCAATGCCTGCAAATTACTGGAGCCTAAGGAAAATAATGTAAACGGTTCATTATTTAGCTTTCTTGCAGTTTGGTTGACAGATGATGCTGGTGTTTCCCAATCACACACTTACTATTTTAAAAGTAATTTTATTGAATAAAGCTGTGAATATTGGACCCTGGAGCTTTATTTAGCAAAACAGCTCAACTGATGTTTTCTTTTTCACTGTATAAGTGACCTATCAAAATATGTTTAGTTAATAAACAACCTTTTAGCAAACTACTTTTATGCATTCAACCTTGAGTAATAAAATATCTTCAATTTTGTACACTGTGGTATGTAATAATATTTTTAGAGTTTATAACATATAGAGTAATTTGCAGGATATGTTCACAGCAAACTATAAGAAAGATACAGTTTATAATACAGCTGATTCTTCCATTCCTAGAATCTATAACTCTAGCTATTCAAATGCACCCTAATCGTTTTAAGGAAACTTAACATCAGGGCATCATTATAATGTATATAGCTACTGTAGCTTCAGATTAGTAACTTATTCTGTATTCATAGCATGAGTTCTACTTATACCAGTCTCATTGTTTCTTATGATAAGTGATCAATATTTCATTTGTCTATTCCTAATGCCCTCAATAGCATAGCAAAGAAAGCAAACATGTTGAGGACTCAAATAGCATCAGCAGAGTCGCTTCTATAGTGTATATTCCATTAAACTGGTGCTACAATGGTGAAATAAACAATGTAAAATATATAAATGGGCAGAGCAATGGGTTCAAAAGTCACAAAATCTAGATAATTCTTGTCATCAAAAGAAATCCATCTTTATTACAAAAGATTGATTAATTTCAATTTTAAAGAAACTATAGGAATTCATTGATTGTCTTTAACTTATACTTCTATAATTCCAACAATTGGAACAATTAGACACTATATTAATATTTTATGCAAACAGGATGATTTTATCATGTGAATTTTTCATTATA